TAGACCAATCCTTTATCACAGTCCGTCCTCATGTTTACTACTTCTCTTACCATTTCAGTCTTGGTTACTTGTCAGACTACTCTCCCAATCAAATCCTCTTCTTAGATCTCAATTAAAACTTATTTGCACAATCTGTTGATTATCCTTTCAAGCAAGTACCTCACAAGTTAGGTGCAGAGATGTTGGTACTGTCTATATTAAGAGGTATAAGGATGTTGGTATTGTCCTAGCCTAAAGGACTTATATGTGCAATCTTTCCATAACCATAATCTTCTGTAACAATCGCTTGTTATGCATAGTGCCTGCACTCTACGATTGGGTCTCCTTCTGAAAATTCTTATTTTCATCATTGTACTGCACTTGAACTTAACCACAAAGCTTCATATTCAATTACAGGCTCCTTATTAGGTTACAGAAACTAAAATCTTTCAATTTTGCCTCTAGCCAGACTTGAACCATTGACCTTGACTATAGAGGATATGGGAGCTTAACCGCTAAGCTATAGGACCCATACCCTTTTATTTTGTATTTTATAATCTTTTTTTTTTTTTTTTTTATTTTAATGGTGAATATTTTATAATCTTAGTATATCTTTAATATATAATATATTAATATATACAACTAAAATTACTAATAAAATATAAGCAAGACCTTACTTAACACCAAAAAAAAAGATAAATAAATAAATAAGCAAATAATAGGCTGAAACTCTATTTTTATGTTTATATAACTTAAATAAAAATCATTATTTAAAAACAAAAATTTTAATTTTAAAAATAATAATAATATATTAATATATTTAATAAAATTATAAAATAAAATCTTATCTTAGTAACAAAAAAATACATAAAAATTAGGGTTATTTATTTATTAATTAAAACAACAAATTGTTTTTACAATTATAAAAAATTAACTACAAAATATTATTCTTTTTTAAAAATATTTTTTAAATAAAGTTATTAATTTTTAAAGTTTATATAATTTTTTGTTTTTAAATTTGCTATATACAAAAATAGATTAGTTTTAATCTTACATTGAAATATTAAAATCAACTATTTATTGTATCTTGTATAACTATTTAAATATAACAAATCTCTTATATTTTTATTTATAAACTAATTTAAGTCTAGCTACTATGCCTCACCGTTAATATTTAAAAAAAAAAAAGTCTAGCTACTATTAGTTTTTTTTAAAAAAAAAAGAAACAAACTTTTAAAGCTTGTATAGTTTAGAAATATTATGCAATGTAATTATACAAATTATAAAAATATGTAAACTATAAAATCTTTCAAATTGTACTTTCAATTCGAAATATTTTGAATCTGCACGATTCTTTTTTAAGAGTCATATAAAGTTAAGAACTTCACAATACTTTATATTATCATAAGTCGATTTACATTTTCCAAATTTACAATAATATTGAAGCTTAAAGATTTTCCGATCTTGTTATAACATGTGCACTAAATTACTTTATATTATAAAATTTTTTAAATTGATTTTAAGAAATTCATTTAGACTTTTAAAAATTATTTTGTTTATTAAGAATCCCTGCACAATAATAATCAAACATTGCGTAAATAGGTTTAAACAATCAATTTTAAATTTCTATTTTTTTTTTTTTTTTTTTTTTTTTTTTATATATATAATTGCAAATTAATTATAAAAATCCTTTTTACAAAACCATGAAAAAACTATATATAATATTTTAAAAATTAAAATGCTAACAAATATAATTTCTAAAAAAAAAAAGTATCACATGCTAATAAAATATATTATGAAAAACCAAATAACACCCTCTTTATATATTCAATGCAAGTACATTGAATATTTTATTAAATTTCACAAACCAAACTTTGTTTATAAAATGTATATTTTTTAGATTCTATGAACAGAAGACCCAACATAAAAAAAAAAAAAAAAAAAAAAAAAAACCAAAGTTTTTAAAAAAAAATTTCTAAAAAGGAAAAAAAAAAAAAAAAAAAAAAAAAAAAAAAAAAAAAAAACAAACAAAAAAAAAAAACCTAAATTCAAAGAGAAAAACAAAAAAACAAAAAAAAAAAAAAAAAAAAAAAGAAAAAAAAAACAGATGAGAAATAAAGAAAAAAATATGCAAACAATTAACAAAAACTATTTATAATTTGACGTTGCAAGATAGCGACAAATGTCAGAATGTAAATCCAGAAAACGCCTCAGTATATAATACAACACCTGTTAACTTATTAAACCACATTTTTCTACAGGACTCCTAATACGTGAACTCACCCTCATGTTGCTGTTAAATTAGCTTATCGCAATGCTGTTACAGCCAATGGAGGAAAGTTATCAGCCGAAATAACAGAATAAGATGTTAAAGGTGAGGCTGGTGAAACACGATGACTATGATGTGGAGTTGCGCAATTATTATTTGATAATTGAGCTCGCTCGGTCTTATAAGCATTTTTGAAGTCATCAATATTCTATGAAATGCCAAATTATTAGTAACTTTAATGTGAAATACATATCCAAATTATGAACGTTCCTACCTGATATTTTTCTAAATGTTTATTTAACTTATCACATACTTCAACTGTTCTCTTATTCTTGTCTTTCCTATAAAACAAGTAAGCCCAAAACTTCTCAAGCCCATATAGATGTCCATTTTCGCAGTCTGACAAAGTTAATTCCTGAAAATCATCAAATAGGTCTTGACGATATTTTTTCTCAAGACCATAAGAGTAAAATCGGAATAAACATTCAAGACCATAACGATAATTGGAGTTTGCATCTTCAACTGCAAATTTCTTAAATTCTAAATACATCCTTTTGTTGAAATGTTCACGCAAGAAATGTGACCAGAACCGATAGAGGGTATTCATCTCTTGTGATTGGCCAATTCCCTGACGTTTACGTTCTATTTTAAATAAGATATTTGATGTTCGATTTGTAACCATGAATCACAAACTGATAATCAAATCTTTCATTCTAAAAATACTTCATAAATCATGAAATAATTTGTAGGTACCTTTCAAAGCTTTAGCATGATATTTATAATATTTGTGTTGAATGAATCCATTCTCACGTAAGAGTTCATGACTTGGGTGTTGAAAAACTGGAAATGATCGTGCAATATCAACGGATGAAGATAATTGCTCCGAACAACTATTTGGCGTGCCATTAGTATGACTTAAAGGCGAGAGTGATAGGCTCGCTGGTGAGGTGCCTTCTTGTGGATGGTAAGGCTGATCACTGCATAAAATATAGAACAAGTAAGAAATTATGATAATAGTTAAGTCAAGATAATCGTAGAGTCAATTAATTATTTACCCGAGAATCCAACCAACTGCATCTTGTGCACCCTTAACAGGCCAAAAGCGCGTCGACTTTTTCTTGCTGTTTTCAAATTCGAAATTTTATATTGATCATTATACAAAATCGGGAATATTTATATTCAAAACAATCTAAATAAAGCTGCTAAAGAATACTTACTTTTTAGTGTAATTATCAGTTGTGACAACTTTACTCGATAAATTGACCCCTGAATTGGATATGGATAATCCATCTCGTGATTTAGTAGATGAAACTATTGAAGTAAATTGTTCTTCACTATTTAAGATAAATAGAAAGTTAAATATTTAATTTATCAAATAACACAGGTATACCAGAATAATAATTAAAATTTTACCTAATTATATCTACTTTTCGTGTTCCACTAACACGCCTATTATTAACAGATACTATTATTTAATAAAAAAGCTATATCATCAATAAAAATAACTAGAATACTAACTTTTGTTTTTGTAAATCATGCTCATATCTATATAAACCCTCATTTATCATTTCTGCAATCTCATCTATAAATGGATGTGAATAAAAAAGGTTAGCTAAATGCAGAAGATATTAAATAAAATCGTATGCGTATTTGATGACGAATAATCTCACCGTTCATTGCCTTTCTTTCAAAAGGGACATGACTTTTATCTCTTTTCTTTTGTGTAACAATTAAGATACTCGCAACGGTATCATCATCAAATTCATCATCATCTTCTTCATCATCTGATGAGGCACAATATTTTTGTACAGTGTTATTTCTTGAATCACCAGCCCAGTCTTCATCAAGTTGAAAAAGTTCATCATCGCCAGTTGAAGTTGGTTTTGGAATGTCGCGAGATGATTTTGGAGATACTTTAGGAGATGTTGGTGACGATAATGTACGACGTTTTTTAGTATGAAGAATCCAAGGATTTGAAATGGCAGAACCATTTTCAGAGAAACCCTCAGGAATTGTAGGCATTTCCTCATTTTCTTTATTTTCGTCTTCATCTATTGGAGGAATACTTTCATCCGTGTGGGCCTCATAGTGTTGATGACCGGTAGATTCTGACATAGTTTGTACATTATTAGTGTGCCCCTGATCTTGTTCACCCATTTTGTACTAAAATAAGAATTGAGTTATGAGTATATATAAATATAAATGACAATTGCTTTGGAATGGTTAATAAATTGATTCCAATCCCTACTTTCGGTAGTAACCAAGATTCCCACCCTTCGCGTTTTCTGACTTTATCATCATTAACCTCAACGATATAGCTATTAAGCAGTGCCTGTGATAAGAAAATAACTTTCGCGTAAGCGTAATTAAATATATTGAGAATAATTCGATAAGAATTCCTACCTCACGGACAAGTTCCATGTCCATCGTTAAAGCTTTCACCCTATTAAATCCTGCTAATAAAGCAATTGGTACATAGCCCTCTGAATCCATCTAATAGATGATTGCAAGCACTGTTAGATTATAATATAGTGATATTAAATGGTTCATTAGCTATATTAAGAATCTACTTGCATTATTTCGTAAAAATATATCCTTGCAAAGGTTGTCAATACTGAAATAATACTCTCTAAAATATTAAATAATCGAATTTGTCAAATACTTAAATCAATAAAAAAAATATATATAAAAAATATAATAAATAATTAAAGTGGAGCGTACATTTGTTGTAAAATGTAGTATTTCAAAATTTCTATGTCATAGCCAACTTTCGTACCATATACACTGACATATTGCTGAACGTATCCTGTTGATGCATAAGGTAAAGTTACCGAGCGAGGAGGTCCGCGTGTACTATTGTATGATCGACCTTATCAAAACAAATATCGTATTTTTTAATTGAATTAATAGTTGAATCACAATGAAAAAAAGTTTCATAAGCTTAAATCTATTCATACCCCTCCCTCCCCTACGACCCCCACGAAACGGTGGTCCACTATTAGAATGTGAATGATGACCGACATTATTGTCACCATGTTGTGAATAACGACGACCATATTCTCTAGATGGAGGAGGTACACTTGCGCGACGTCTATTTGTATTATTATTATGATTTTGCACCGTTGGAGTTGTCACTTCAGAATTTATGACTTTTTCGCTAGATTTGCGTTCACGAAGACCAGCATGATCTTCACTACGGCGTCGAGGTTTTGACCTCTCATGACTTGGTAATGGTGCGTTATGTGTGATTATTGGAGTATATTTAATCCATTTACCTTTACCTTTAAGAAATTGTACAATTCATGATGAGATAACACAAAAACATGAAATTAACAAGATAAATGAAGAGATTTTCACCTCTTCTTGGACTATCTTTTGTCCCGATATCAATAGATTGCTTCTTTTCGGAAGATTCAGTTTGTTCCTTTTCTTTGTCTTTGATCAAAACTTCTGCGGGAGCTGGCCAACTGCTTTGATCTTCTAGTGGAGGTAATATTGGAGGTGGTTTTTGTTTCTTAGATTCTTTTTTAGCGAATCTTTTGTAATCTTTTAAAATAGACAAGGAACCAGTTATAAAGTTAATTCTACGATCTTTGTATATTGACTGTATATAGTCTACCAACGCACACTATTGACTTGTAATCGGCTTTTCTTAACCAAATAAAGGTTAATTCCAGCCAGTAGATAATCAAATATTGACGATGGTTTTCTGATAAAACCCATACAGTGGAAATTTAGAGGTAATTATTTAAATAATTCGGTATATGAGCTTTCAACAACCAATGACTTAAAAGATCCACCTTAAAATGAAAACAACGTGCACGAAATAATTCTAGCAATTTGTCATATTCCTGCAAAACGTGACAATAAAATTGTAACGTACCATCTGAAGGTTCTTGTTGATCAATATTAAGATTTTCGGATTTTTTGATATCGGTAACAGCTTCTTTATCGTTAAGGTTTGAAGTTTCAGTAACCTTTTTTGCGTTCATGGCTTCCTTTCTTACCTGCCAAATATTTACAGGTGGTATTGGCGCAGGAGAAGGTGGTATTTTCTTTGGAGGGTCATTTTCCTGGGAAACCTTTTCAGTTTCCTCATTATTAATCAAAAATTCTCTCGGTGATGTTGGTACAGGTGATCGAATGGTATTCGGCCCGTTAGTTTCCGATTCTGTTGTTTTTAATCTTGTACTAGAAGGCTTGATCAGATTGACATTGCTGACGTTGGAACCAACGAGATTGTTATCTGGCTGCGCAGTTTTTGGACTGACCATGGTTTTAAACTTTGAAAAACAACGAACTAATAAAAAATTAAAAGGGGTCTTCTTTTGATCAAAAGAGCTAACACCTAAATGAAGGTTCGTATAATAGATGCTCTTTTGCAAGGTATACTACTATGGTAAGACCTGAAATAAGAAGCTAAGAACAACAAAAGATATCCGTTCCGCGTGAATAAATTTTATATTTTTTTCTTACAGTCGTTAGCGAGGCAGCGAAACCCCTCTCCAGTACAACCTTATGCAAGAAAAAAGTTGTTTGCCTCAGCCAACAACACCCGTTTATACTAACTGCTTACGCAAAAAAAAAAAAAAAAAAAAATCGATTTTTTTTTGGATTGACCCCTTTCGGATATATATATATATATATTATACGTATATATATATTTGATATACTTTTAGTGATAGAATACGTGATACGTGGCGAAAAAAAGTCAGAGATATTTGATTTTTTTTTTTTTTTTTTAAGAATTATTTGGATTATATGGCCAATCACCTTTCTGCGCTCAGTAAAACCAACGGACCAAGCTAACGTTTTTTTGATATGATCTGAATTGAATGATCTAATCCGGCAAATATTCATCATATATTGTCATGCTAAGATTGACAATACAGTTATAAAAAAAAAACCTGTCTCGTGCTTTCTTGGAACCAGCATCTCACTTCATCTTGGTAATCCAAAAATACCAGTGCTCCGATAGAACCCGGTTTAATCCCATCTCATGTACATACGTATGTATTAAAGCTAGTACCCCTTGAGTTACAAAAACAAATAACAATTAAAAATCTTTGTAACAATCATAATTCGCGTCGGTTGACGTCTCGTTAAATTGTAGCACAAAAATACTTAGGGTTTTTTTAAAGAGCGTACGTACCGGTACGTAAGTATGTACATATTAATACAAGATTACCAAATTTATTAAGCCTCTCGTGGCTTCTTCTTCCAGCCGCATTCCAGGATTCTCCACTGCCCCAAATAATCGACACAAGACCCCGAATCAGGACCATTGTGTGTCATAGCATAACAATCTACAGAGGCTTGATCACTACTACCTCGAAAACCTTATATACTGTAGGACCAAAATCACATTCTTATTGTTCAATCTCAAGGGATTTTATTGGTTTTAAGAGGGAAAGTAATATGATTACGTATAAATTACATATTATTGGCGCCATGATAACTTTGAAAGAAAGAATCGCATGCATTGTATGCACTGCGACCATTGAATACATGAACACTACGGCAATATAATTAGTGGCGCGGGAAAATCATTCATCTTTGGAAATCGAATGAGTTAATGCACAAACATGCGACACTAAAATACGTAAGTCTGAAATGTGTATGGTTAGATTGCAGCACAGAAAATTATTACACTTGCTGCGCATAGATGATTCTAAAAAAGTGATCCGTAATATCCCTCTTAATTAACTGATGACAATTCCATGTCAGTTGTGATTAGCAGATTCTCTGACTAATCATTAGTTTGACACAATCAAGTTTCACAATTTCTTTATAAAATCTCGACTTGGCGGTTTCACGAATGTATTATTTTGTTTAACAGCTGGTTTTGCCAACATCTCCCCGCGCCAAATAGTCACAATTATGTGAGGATCTCACGTGCAATGCCTGGAATAGCTGTGCTTTTTTAGTTCAAGACATGTCGGTTTCGTAGTTTAATATTATACACATATTTCTTTATATATAATACGTATATAGCTCTAATTAAAAATCAACCATTTTGTGCTAGCTATAGTTTTTTTTTTTACAAAAATGCAAAATGCTATAAAGTAAATAATGTACTATGTTGTTTGCACATTATATAGTATATTTGACCAAACAAAGTTAAATTGCTTTTGTTCTTCTTATACAGCAATATAAATTTAAAAATGATTAAAAACCCTGCTTTTTATTTTAATTAAGAATTTTTAATTATAATAAAAAACATACGAAGTTTATAGCTCTTTATTAATAGTTTATACGTACTTATAATTTGCTAATGACTGTATCTTATTGTACGTATTTTTAATACTTTTTTATATTAATAATAGAAAATATTTAGTAATTTAAACAAAGTCGATAATAAAAAAACTTTTAATTCAATCAATTAAGTACAAGCAAGTTTTAACGTTAACAGATTTTGCAATTGTAACATTAATACTATTTACTCTTTATTTTATAATTATACAGTATTTATAATAGAAATAATTTATAAAATTTTGAGTTTTAAAAATAGGTTTATACCAAAATTTTGATATTTTTAAATTTATTTAATAAATTTTACTAATTATAACTAGTAATAATTATTATTAAAATACAATATCTCAAAAATAAACCTAAATAATAAAAGCTAGATATATTAAATAAAATTTTCAAAAACCTACATTTAACTAAAATTTAAATTCTAATATAGGCTAAGTACTGCAAAAAAGAAGTAAATTAACAAAAAAAAAGATTTTTAAAAAATGATTTTTTTTAAAATATTAATAATAAAGCTATACTTCTATTTTTATTGAATATTCAATTGAGATTTTACATAAATATGAATTTATTTTTAAAATATTATAAAAAGAATAGAAGCTTGAACTAATTTATCTGTGTCTAAATCAACAAGAGTAGTCAAGGTTCATCTAGATTTGAGTGTTAGTAATTATATATATATATATATTTTTTATTTTTTTATTTTTATTATTATAAGCAGTCACATTAGTACTTTATTAAAATTTTGGAATTATACTTGTAACTATATAAATATACCTAATATCTAAGTCTAGCATCACCTGGCTATCTTAATAGTATCTAAATGCAACCTGTCATATTACTTTGAGCAGAAGTAAGCTGCTTGTCTAACTACTTAAAGTCTGTAATGAAAGGGTCTTTTCCCTTCCATGACAAGTCTTAATATTGTTTTTGTTACTTCTTTCTCAACTTGCTTTCTTTTTTCTCTTAATTCTTCTTTCTTTTCTTATATTTTTTCTTAATTTGCCTTTTCTTTTTTTCTTGATTTCTTTAGTTTTACATCTTTTTTTCTTTTGATTTTACTTATTATTCCAACTTTTTTTTTTTTATTCATTAATTTTTTCATAATGTATTTTCCATACTTGTTCATAAAATATGTTTCAAACTGTTATTATTATTATGTTTACAAACTGCTATTTTGATTTCATGTTTAGGAGCTGTGTTAATTTGTCTTGTGTTTCTTTTAGAATTAGGCCTCTTATTAGTATTTCTTTCATTTTTACTTTCTTTGTTTCTATTTTTTCAAAGAGTGCTATATATAACATATATAGAAGGATTTAAATTTGTTTCATTTTTTTTAGTTTTTTTTATGCTATCATAATGATCATTTTTTGGATTCTCTTTTAAAGATTTCTTTGCCCCTTGTATACTGCTAAATGTATTTGTGTCTCTTTTACTTTATCTTAACATACTTGACATTTTACTGTTGTATATATATCTGGTCTTCTTCTGCTGAGTTCTTTCAAAGTTGGAAGTTTATCTATTATACACTTAATAAATGACTTTTTTTAAAGCTGCTTCTTTTCATTATATAATATATTCTTTTTGTCATCTTTAGCCTTTTTCAAAAACAAGTTTAATTATAAATTGTAATTTCTGTTTCTAGCTCTAAACCTTTAACTGCTTTCATTTCTTTTTACTTTGCTCCTAGTTTTGTATTTATTACTAACTTGCAAAGCAGTCTTGTTGATATATCAATTTATCTGTTTTTCCACTCTAGACAGTACTTTATCTCTTTACAACTAATTTTTTCAGTCTGTATTGTTTTTCTACTTATTATTCTCTTTTTTGCTAAACTATTAGCTTTATCATTTCACTTATTTTTACTATGACTTTTTACTTTGACTAAATCTATCTAAATGTTTTTCATTTTAACAAAAGTAATTATATATAAGAGATTGGTTTAATATTTAATCTATTAGATAAATTAATTAATTTTTGAACTAATTAAATTAGAAGAAAAAAAGCATAATAAAAGTGAAACATAATTTAACAATAAATTATAGTTAAGCTATAGATTTTAAAATACAGTAAAAAATTCCGATTTTGTAATAGATTTATTAATTACATTAATTTAAATAGTTATTTATTTAGTTTCTAATTCTTTTTTTAATTTAATTAGTTTAAATTTTTTATATTTTAAACAAATTTTATATTTTTTTAATTTTAATTTTTTTTTTAAAATAAACTGCTTTTCTTGAATTTCTAAATTATTTATTAATTAGTTTTGACTTTTAATTTCTTAAATGCTTTTATTAGTTTATTAATATATATATATATATTTTTAATTTTAAATAGTTATGCTAATATTTTATTAAGATTCTTGAAACTATATACATATACAATTATATAGAATTTCTCAATATCTAAGTTTAACATCACTTAGCCATCTTTATGATGTTTAAATGCATCTATTATACTATCTTAGTTAGAGATAATCTGTTTATCTGATTACTTAAAACTATACCAAAAAGATTTTTTCTTTTTAGTAACAATTATATTAATTGTTTTTTATATTTCTTTTTTTATTTAATTTATCTTTTGTATATAAGCATTTTTTCATTTTATTTATTATGTTAGTCTTTTTTTTTCATTCTATTATTTTTTTATATTGTACCTTTCATATTTGGTTATAAAAAGTGTTCCAAACTGTTCTTATTATTATGTCTGTGTTGTCTGCTTATTTAATAGTTGTTTAAACCTTTCTTCTACTTTTAGCATAATAAGTCTCTTTATTAATGCTTTCTTATTTTTAATTTTTTTAACTTGTTTTTTCAAATACTGCATTATACAATACTTGTAATAGAATTCTGTCTTTTTATTTAAGTCTATTTTATGCAATTGCTATTATTACTTTTGTATTTGTTTTCACAAACTTTTTTGTTTACTATAGTTGCTAAATATGTTTGAGTTTTTACTGTTATATATACTTTTGACTTTTTTCTATTTAGTTTTTTAAACATTAGTAAGATGTTCATTA